TGCTGAGACAAACAGCAAACAAATCTGGGGCCCGTGACTCTGGGGGATACTGGCAAAGTGGCACCGTGGTGTGACAAGGGCCAAGACAAAGTTATCCTGGGACTGGAAGGAGGGACCCGTGTAGAGATGCTTGAGATCAGCAATAGGACTTAGATTTGGAAAAGAAAGTTGTAGAGTGACTTCAAGTTTCTACTTGGGTAATAGGTAGAAGATGGTCAGAAAGCAAAAGAGAAATGAGGCCAGTTTGGACTTGTGAAATGTCTGTCAAAACTCAGATAAGTGAGGGCGTAAGGCACACAATTTATTTAAATAAATAAATAGCAGGATGAATATTAGAATTTAAGTTTCTTCTTTCTTAGGTTTATTGTGCTCTATCAATTTGCCTTCCCCCAAAACAATATTTATAGTGGTATTTCCTCACATTAAAAAAAAATGTCAATGTAGAGAAAAAAACTTACACCCACTTCTGCCATGGAGATTTGTCCTCTTGTTCTACTTATTGTCATGATTTTATGATGGTTTTTTCATACTTCCCCGTTTCCTTGAATGTTACACTGTTTTATATAAATGTTACTAAGGGATTACCAGCACACACTAGCTAATCATCATTTTAAAAATATTTCGTGTAGAGTTTTTGTTTTTATTTATTTTTATTTTTTCCTCGAGATGGAGTCTCGCTCTGTCACCTAGGCTGGAGTGCAGTGGCATGATCTTGGTTCACTGCAACCTCCCTGCCTCAGGTTCAAGTGATTCTTCTGCTTCAGCCTCCCGAGTAGCTGGGACTACAGGCATGCTCCACCACGCCTGGCTAATTTTTGTATTTTTAGTAGAGACGGAGTTTCACCATGTTGGCCAGGCTGGTCTCAAGCTGCTGACCTCAAGTGATCCATTCACCTCACCCTCCCAAACACCTGAGATTACAGGCATGAGCCACCACGCCCAGCCTCATGTAGTTTTTAAAGGACATTTATTTTCTTTTCCTAATAGTTTACAGTTTCTGTTATTGAGGAGCTGGGGAAAAAAAAGAGCCTGAGATGGGGTAAAGTATAAATTAGGTTGCCTCTTAATTTGTTTCTACAAGTGTTGTTTTCTATTAGTCCCATTTCACTGAGCAGAATACTGAAGCCAGAAAGATGGTAACTGGAGATCACACAACTGGGTCCTAAGGATCCCCTGCCCTTAGAACATTAAACCTCGAGAGAGAAACGATTGGGATCTAAATGTGGAAGTGGTTAGATTGTGTTGAGGAAAATGTCTCCTGGTGAGGAGATAGAACATCCTCAGGTAGACTTAAAAAACAAATAAAATCTTTCAGAAATACTTAAGACATAACAGACTTCTCACTTCAAATTTCGACTAGAATTTGAGTTATTTCATGGGTATACTGGTATGGGACAATGAAAAGTCTTTGCTAATTTTGCCTAATACACTGAAAAGGGCAACGAAGAATGCAAATATGGAGTTCACCCAAGCAAATGAGATATAGGTAGGTGTAGGCATTTCTAAGAAGCAGACAGACAAATGGCAATTGTTTGAGTTACCCTTCTGAACATACATGCTTTGAATAGAACTGGCCTTATAAGTAGACATTAGTAATTTGAGGAAGCACCAGAGAGACGCTTCATAGCTTTATTTTTGTGGACGGTGGAAGTTTTTGTATTTTCTTTTTTTCCCCTTCTTTTTGAAACAGGGTCTCACTCTGTTGCTCAGGCTGGAGTGCAGTGGTATGATCATGGCTCACTGCAGCCTCGATCTCGGGCTCAAGTGATCCTCCTGCCCCAGCTTCCTGCCTCGATCTCGGGCTCAAGTGATCCTCCTGCCCCAGCTTCCTGAGTATCTAGGACTACAGGTGTACGTCACCATGCCCAGCCAATTTTTTTATTTTTTGTAGAGACAAGGTCTCACTATGTTGCCCAGGCTGGTCTCAAACTCCTGTACTCAAACAATCCTTCCTCCTGGAGCCTTCCAAAGTGCCAGGACTACAGGTATTAGTCACCACACCTCTGCAAGTGTTAATGTTTCACAACTGTTAGAATGTAAACTACCCTTGTGAGGTCATGAGCTTTATTATTTCAGTAGCTAGCAGGGTGATGGGCCCCAGGATAGGACAGTAAGACCTGATTGAAATGAGAGAACAGACTCGGGCCCTAGCCTGCCTTTTAGGACATTACTGCCCTTGCTTTAGGAAAAAATAATGCTTTTTTCCTCCCATTTAATTGGGTCATTGAAGTAATAGCACTGAACAAAGGGTTCCACTAAGGATGAAGATAAATAGCGTATCTAACCATTTAAAAATTGTAAAAATTATTCCAATGTTGTTGTTGTTTTCATTGATCAAGGAGAGAGAAAACTAGTAAGTTGGAGTGGTTTGACCCAAATAGGTCAAAGAAAGATGTTTCATTATTTAGAAATTCTACAGGGGCTGCACTAAGAGGATGTTTTCTAATTTTTGCACAAAAAATAAGGTATAAATAATAAATTGTTCAAACCAAGGAACAGAGAACTTGGCTAAGGTGATTGCCTTAGGTACTTATGGTTTGGGCAGAGGACTATCAGCACTGTGTGTTTTGATCTGTGTAACTGTGGTATTTAGCTGTAAATATAAAATACTTGAATTGCAGAGTTTGCAAACTAAAAGGGACTGCAGAAATCTTCTAGTCCAGTGGTTTTCAAACTTGATTTTAGCCGCAGACTTTTTCCTTTAAAAATGAAATCTTAAGTGGAACCCCGATGATTAACACAGATAATAAGAAGTGGGTTCCTCTGGCACTTTACATCTTGAGAATCTTGATTCTTTGGGGGAAAAGTTCTTCATTGCCTACAAAATCCCTTAAGCACCTCAGGTGGCACAGTTTGAAAGCCACTGATCTAGTCCAACCCTTTCATTTTACAGATGAATAAACTGAGGTCTAGAGAGGTTAAGTGACTTGCCCAAGGTCACACAGCTAGTCATGGAAGAGCCAGGACTAGATCTCAGGTCTCTTGATTCCCAGTCCAATGCTCTTTCCACTACACCACACTGCCAGTAAGGTAGGTGCTATGTTAGCATTATGTTCACAGCCGCTAATAGTCTTCAGTATTTTCCAACTGATTTATGCTAATATGCATTGAATATTGAAGTGTATTATTTAGAAATTTGTAGGATATGCAAATACAGATTTGAATCACATGGGTATACTCTTAGAAGATAAATCAGTATCTAGAATGTTTCAGTTCACTTTTAAAAATTATTTTAAAGCAATGCAATTAGGTAATGTCTCAGCTACACTGGATATTTTAGTCTGATATCAATGATCAATATGTAAGGAGTCAGTATGTTTTAGTGTAGACACATACTTTGATGGGAGTGGCATTAGGATTCCTGGCTGCCACTCCCTTGGGGGCTATGCTCTGCCATCATTTCCAATATTGGCCAGTCTATTCAGAATAGTGCATCCCTCTTAGTATGTAGTGGGCATGTTCTTTAACATAAAACTCTGAAGATTTACCCTCAGTTCTTTCTATGTCTTTACCTTCTGTCTCTAAGTCCTTTATTCTTCTCAACCTGGTGTGTATGAATTGTCACTGCGGGACCCACCCTAAAGGGGCATAAAGGATGTTTCATTGTAGAATCCTGTTGCCCCTGATCATCTCTGTTGTTGATTCAGTTTCCACCTGGATTGCTCTAGTATTATCAGACAAAGACTAGATGCTGTCACTAGATGCCAGGAAAGTAGAAAAAGTGCCTCTATGCTGTTATTTTACTACCTAAAATAAAGAAGGCATGTAGAAGTCTGTAGCCACTGTGAACCAGTAGAATTCTTATGAGAAAATGTCCCTGAGAAAATAGATGTTACCACCTGTCTAAAGATAAGAGTGCCGGTCTTGTAAGTAAAAAGTAAGTTTGGGAGCAGTGATTACAGTCAAAGTTGAATATGGTTTGTTTCTATCTTATTGAATATATTAGGGGCTAGTCTCTAAGCAGTAGAAGTATATACAGCCAGAAATTACTTCTTGAGTCCTACATTTATTTGAGAATCAAGGAATCGTGACTAGTTATCAGGTCTTATTTATAGAATGCATTCCTTCTGAAAGCCAAGTTCAGAGTTTTGTGCATCACATGGTGATGTGTCGTCAGGGTGTTCCCGTCCTGCCGTATAACCTGATAACCCCAGACAGGATATATTAGCTCTCTGTGTATGTGTTTCCTCAACTTTAAAATAAAATAATGACCTAGATCTTCCTTCTAGTCCAGGCTAGCTCTGTATGACTGCTGATTGATTACCTTGGTGACTCAAGATAGTGTCAGGGTCCCAGACATTGCATTGCATGCTGTGTTCACTTGGTTTGATCCTTACTTTCCTGTAGAAGTTTCTGTGACGATGGAAATGTTATATATCTGTGCAGTCCACTACTGAAGCCACCAGCCACACGTACCCGTTGAGCACATGAAATGTGGCTGCTGATACTGAAGAACTGAATTTTAAGCTTTATTTAATTTTAAGTAACTTACATTTTAAGTTAAGCAACCACGTGTAGCTAATGTATTGAACAACACAGTTCTTAGATGTTCTCTGACACAGATGTCAGAGACCAAGTGGAATAGGTGTAGCTCAAGTGTTCATCAAGAGAGTGGTGATGTTTTACCTTGATGATTCTTCATCAAATATAGTCGGTCTTAGGGTAACTTGTTAGAAATCAAGCACTGTTTTTTGAATGAAAATGTTATCTACAGGAGACTTGAGTTTCCTCTTGTTTGTGACTTAACCACATGAGCTTCAACTGAAAAGATATTTGCTAATTTGAGGAGAAGTGAAGCATTTTCTCCTATCTGCAGGCTTATGATCATTTAGGTCTCGACACAGGTCTCAGTGAATTCCCGTATGTTTTCTGGGAAGCTGAGTTTAGGTTTCTGGTCAGTAAAAAATATTCTGTCTTTATTCCAAGCTCAAATATGAGTGACTGAACTGTGCTGATTTCTGAATAGATGATGAAACAAACTCTTGTTTTTTCCCTCTTAGAACCAAAGAAAATGGCTTTGACAGAGAGCCTTTGCACTCAGAACATCCAAGCAAGCGACCATGCACTATTAGCCCAGGCCAGCGGTACAGTCCAAATAACGGCTTATCCTACCAGCCCAATGGCCTGCCTCACCCCACCCCACCTCCACCTCAGCATTACCGTTTGGATGATATGGCCATTGCCCACCACTACAGGGACTCCTATCGACACCCCAGCCACAGGGACCTCAGGGACAGAAACAGACCTATGGGTAAGACTGAAGGATCTGTTCACTTCTTATGGGATTGGGAGCTTGAAGACTTGCACCATTACTTCTGAACTGAACTTGAGGCTTGAAATCTGTGATAGGGATAAAAATTATCTTATCTTATCTTGCTTTATATTGTCTCCTTTATGAAAAAAACTTGATTGGTATTAATAGACTTTTCAACAGCTGTGCGCTGTCTCTCTCCTAATCACTTGTATTCTTTAAGACAGTACACTAAATTTCTTTGGAGGAGGGCATCTATATTAATACAAGACCCTCAATTGTGTTTGTAACAAATGCAAAATAAATTTTTAGCTTGAATTCTCTTTTAACACGAGACTTCATATGCAGTCTGCCTGCCACAAATATTTTTAAAAATCACTTTATTTTCTTGCATTGTGTCTTTTGTTTCAGATAGTCTCTACGTTTATTTTGATTTTTTTCGAGCCTCCATGATATTCCATATTTCCAAAGTATGATATGGTATGCTATCTGTGGCTTCACAGATGTTTCCTGAGGAATGATTTGGTACTTTTGTTTACTTGAAAATGCCAGTGATTGAAGTTAATATTGACAATTTGGGGTCAAGGATCGGAATACTGAAGAAGTGAATTTGGGCAAATATGTGTTCTATTTCCCTGTGTTCATTCCTTCTTTGCATAAAACTATTAGAAGTAAAGCATTTTGTCTGGGTGCAGTGGCTCACGCCTATAATCCCAGCACTTTGGGAGGCCGACATGGGTAGATGAGTTTGAGCTCAGGAGTTTGAGACCAGCCTGGGCACTGTGACAAAATCCCGTCTCTACTAAAATTAAAAAATTAGCCAGGCATGGTGGTAGACTCCTTTAGCCCCAGCTACCTGTGGGGCTGAGGCAGGAGGATCGCTTGAGCCCAGGAAGCAGAGGTTACAGTGAGATGAGATCATGCCACTGCACCCCACACCATGCACCCCAGCCTGGGTGGCAGAGCAAGACCCTGTCTCAAAAAAAAAAAAAAAAAAAAAAAAAAAGAAGTAGTAAAGCATTTTGAAGACATTGCCTTCTGTAGAACAAATGTCTACCATGAAAAGTGAGAGAGAAGATGAACAAGGTAAGTTTTTAAACATATGATTAGTGGTTCAGTGGTGAAGATGATAGTGTATCAGAGGGTTATTAGTAAGTACACTATTACTGGAGTGCCTTCAATTCTTAATTAGTGATGAGTCTAACTGAGAGCAATAGTGAGTCTCCTCTTCTTTTTCCATCTCCTGTGTCCACATCACCCACCAACAGGACTTTCTCTACCTTGTAACGAATTGCTGGCAAACTTTCCTGATGCGGGTGACTTAGTGGCCAGTACACTAGAAAGAGCAGGGGATGAAGTGCAAGTAGAAAACCCAAAAACAGAGCTGAGGATACAGAATTCTGGGGAATGTAGCTAGCCAGTTATTCACTACTTGATTACAGTGATAGTGGTTTTTGTTTTGTTTTGTTTTTAGCCACAGGCAGAGAGAGTCTTAATATATAAAGTTTACATTTGATTTCCAAGTATGTTGCTAGCAAACAGGGGCTCCACGTGTAGGGCCTTTTTTGCCTTTCTACGCCCAACACCCCAAATGTTTAGAAAGCAAGAAGAGTCAGGATGAGGGGAGGGGCGATTGGAGCTTTGGTTGTAAGATAGTAAATTAGTAGTTCTGGTTCTCCACAACAGTAATTTCTACGTTTATATAGTGTGTCAGACAAATGACTAAGCATATAATTTGTGCTTTCTTAATAGCCAATCTGTCTAATGTTCTCGCAGGTACCATTTCTGAAGAGCTTTCAAAGGTGGTTATGCTATTTCTTGATCTGGATTGATATTTGGACCCCAAAATCAAATGTGATAACAATTCCCTTCTACACAAAGCCTTAGCATTTATTTATGACTTAAGTACTGAAAACCATGACTGCATGTTTTTAAATAGCAGTGGAGTCATCAGGTCGTGGTGAGACCAATTCAAGGGATCCCATTTTGTAGATGTGTTAGCAAATGGCCTGTTTCTTAGGCAGCAGGTGCTATTTTGTGAAATATTAGTTCCAGTGCACTATACAGTAATCAGCAAGGAAGTAATTACACTTATGTGCAACGATTATGTTTTCATCAAGTAACGTAAAATATCCCTTTATGAATTATATCTGTATCCATTGGTTTTATGTGATTTTCTTCAGACCATGTTCCTTACCTTTTAATTATATTAGCTTATAAAACTAATAGTGCTAATCTCTATAAATATGTGCAGCTACTAAACCATCCCTAAAGTCTGGCAGAGTTTAGTGTGTGTTAATGTAAAATAAAATCTTGATGTATGAGCAACAAATTATGGTATTACATCAGGCTGCCATTTTGAGAATATAAAAATTGTCATAAAGATATACTTAGTCTGGTACGATTTATAAATGCCTATTATGTGTAGGGACATATACTCACTAGAATCCTTCAGTAAAGTAACCTGTTAGCGGCATTAGTTTATAAGTAAGCTTAGAGTTTTAGCCTAGTCAAAATATTCTAAAACAAAATAACTAGTTAAGACTCAACATTAGTGTCAAATTTCCCACAAATGAAAATGTGATTATGAGCTATTTAATGATTATGAGCTATTTCCCCTGGTACATCCCTCTGGTATTATGACTATAAATAAAAATTGTGTGCTGCTGAATATTTAAGTATCTTAAATAGAGAAATTAGTAAATGTAAAATCTTGATTTATTTTTTATTTTTAAAGATTTGATTATATCTAACAAATGACTTTCAGTGTTCAAAAGCAGCAAATGAATCTTACATTTTTTCAGCAAGTACTTGAGCTCAAACATGTTTCTAATACACTTAGTATTTTTTTTAAATGAGATGAAGCTTAGTACTGTTTCACAAATGCTGAAATCCCACTACCACAGATGTCCTGTTGCTCATTAATATTACTCCAGGCGTTACAGCTTGTGTCATTACTGATTTGTTCTGCTGAATTTTTCAAGCTTTTGAGACCTCTGGAATTCTTGTCCTTAAAGGCAAATATTCAGATGCCTCTAACATGGAAGTCACTGTCACATTTATATCCTTATCACTTTCTGGTTATTTTCTGTGGTGACTAATTTTAACAGTAGTGGTTTTTCCCTAAAACACAGGCAACAAATAAGTTAACAAAAATTACATATTTGCAAACATTTCAACTTGAAATAATCACAACAGAGCAGTAACTAAGTACTATTTTTCCCAATGTGTTTATATTATGCAAATTAATAAAACATATTTGCACTTTTACTTTTTAACCAATAGGTGGCATTGACAATTTTAACTTTTAAAATATATCTTAGAATATGTTCTAATTGGACAGGAGTGGTACAAAGCATCTTGCATTTAGCTTTTCAGTTAGTCTGAGAAAGAGTTGTCATAAATTTGTTCACTTCCATCAGTTGTAAATGAAATCTCTTTACATGGTTGGCTGAACAGAGTCATGTGACTCATCTTTATTTGTGTACATCAGCGAAAAAAAGGGATTTCTAACCACTTAAATCTCACAAAAAGTAAAATTCAGTGTCTTATAACTCGTTTGGTCATTTAATTCTTACATAAGTTCCACAGAGAGTTAGCCCAGTTATCTAGAAACCCAAACTATAAGAAACCTTATTTGCTGTTCAGAGTAACATTTTGAGATTGGTAACCAAAAATAATAGTTTTGTTCATTTAAATTGCAAAATAATGCCACAGCTCAATGACTTTCCTATTCAACAGAATATAAAGTGAATATGTAAGAGGAACAACACGTTTCCAGGTTTCTCTGATCGGAACCTTTCAGCCCATCTTTTTAGTGAGACACATTTACTTCCTATTTTAATGAGCATCCTAGCTAACTGCTTAAATTCGTTAATACTGGTGCTCACTTGGTAAACACTTATATATTACTTTTTCATAGTGGTATCTTAATTATGATGCTAAAGAGCATTAAGTCTTATGGACTTCAAATTAGGATTTTCAGTTGGTTCACTTGGATTTATGATATTTGTCAAATTATATCTTGTATGTTAATTTTGTAATGAAGGATGTCCAATTTACTTTTATTTTTTATTTTTTTGGTAAACCAAATGAGTATATGTAGCTCCATATTATACAAGCCTTCTCTTCATGGTCTAATTTTGTCATGTAGGTATATGTGTTAGGATTGTATTCATTTATACAAGGCTGAAATATGGAAAAATTTACCATACTTGTTTTGGGAAAGCATGTCCCTTCCCATGTAAAATGACTTATGCTATCTTTATTTTTAATGCAGGACGTCAATGCTTTAAAAACCACTTAATGTCTACTTGTGGTTTCTTGTATTTATTAAGAGTTAGAATGTATTTTTACTTACAGAGTGTTGTGTGGATAACTAGCTGTGGGCTTGGTGTCACTTAACTGTCTCTTGTGTGTAAAATAATGTCTTCTGACCAGCTGACCTCTGAAATTCCTTCTAGTTCTCGTATTTTATCATTCTGTGAGGAACCTATTAGGTAATTCTGAATCATGTCTCCATTCAAAATCAAATGTATTTTTACATCATTGAGTTTGCCCACATAGTCCTTGCTGTGAGTCTGTGTGTGTATGGGTTGTATACTGAACGCTTTAGGGTTATTCAGCCTTCTCTATTTTTGTAGGGTTGCATGGCACACGTCAAGAAGAAATGATTGATCACAGACTAACAGACAGAGAATGGGCAGAAGAGTGGAAACATCTTGACCACGTAAGACATCAGTAATCATTTGGGATTAAAAAATGTTTGGAAAACAACTGGAGTGAGGTTATGTGATAAAATAAAAGCTTGGTGATCCTTTGAAGGTACTGTGTTTCCTGCTATCCTTGAAAAAAATAATGAGCGAGAATATTTGAAGTAGAATGTAGAATTTGATTTCTAAATTGATATGAAAGCCACTTAAGAGAAATGTTTAGATCTTGGAAAGGAATTCTCAAAGCCAGATCAGTGGGCTACTGTTTTATTGTGAAAAGGTTATTTAATTTCTAAAGTAATGGGATTAGTATTTAGAGAGGTGGATTTACTGGCTATAGTGCCTTCAGGTGAAATTTCCCTTCTGTCTTGTGTTCATACATCTCTCTTCTCATTCCCATCGAATTTTCTCATCTATTGGCTCTGAATTTCAAATCTAGCTGTAGAAAATACTAGACCAAAAACTTCAGGGATAAAATTGCTTCCTTCATTGTCCTGAAATGGTTTGTTTCACTATTCAGTAAAATCTTTAATTGTGATGATTTATACACTCTTCCCTATTCTCCCCTTTCCCACATAGCTGTTAAACTGCATAATGGACATGGTAGAAAAAACAAGGCGATCTCTCACCGTACTAAGGCGGTGTCAAGAAGCAGACCGGGAAGAATTGAATTACTGGATCCGGCGATACAGTGATGCCGAGGACTTAAAAAAAGGTGGCGGCAGTAGCAGCAGTCACTCCAGGCAGCAGAGTCCCGTCAACCCAGACCCAGTTACACTAGGTAACTTTTCTTCAGATGAGTATCTCGAACACATATTTCTTATGCTGTTAATGCTGACTTTATTTTTAACTTCTTTTTAAAATTAAAGGATATGCAAGGAATTTTAAGACAATAAACAATTTACATATCCTCCAATATGTCTTATCTGTCTGTTAGGAATTTGGGCAGATTGGCATAGACAGAGATTGCCACAAAACTTAAATTCCTTTTCCAGGTAAATGTATTGAGCTGATGGCAGAGTTTCCGCACTGAACCAGAATTTCATGTGCTTAACTAAAACTTGCGCTCAACTAAAACTTGCGCTCCTTCAAAATGCCTCAAAATAGCAAAAACAATCTCGGGGAGTGGGCCTGGGGCTTAGACACTTCCATCAAGGTCTCTAGTGAATTCTGCCACTGCCTACCAATGTTAGCACTGCACACGAGGATGTATGTTTCAAATTATTAATTCAAGAAATAGCCCATAAGACAATCTTGTTTGTTAGTTGAATCTCAGATACACACATATATATGTGTGTATATATATATATGTTTTTTTTAACTTTTTTCTCAACAGCCCCTGCCCAGAGAGACCTAAAAACTATATATTTTGCCTACAGCTATTTTTAAATTAATGATACCGATGCAGCACTCTTCCTTTGATTTGATCTTAACTTGCATTACTTGATCATGATTGTATTAATTCTAGTTTTATAATGGGACTCATAATATAGTTGTGCCTTAGAAATGGAATGTTAGTATGTAACTGTATTACTTATTGATATTTGGGAATTGTTGGGGTTATAGATAGAATATAATCCCATATATGTTGAAAGAAATCGTCAACCTCAAAGAATTTTTGTGTGGCCTGTGAACTTTTACCTAAATTAATAATATGGTTTTGTCGCTGACATTACCGCCTATTACGTGTGAATACTTTTTGAGTAAACTTAGGGAGATGGATTTCTGTGGATTCTTGTTCTCTTATATTCTCTTATGTGATTAACCCCATACCCATCTGCTAATTCAAGTTAGAGTACTGTCCATGCTGCAAAACATGTGCAGATTAAGCTCATAACTTTGGCCTCATTAGTATTATGACTGATCATCAAAAGTTAAAAACTTGAAGTATATGATCTGTCTATTGATCACATTATTGTTTTCAATTTGTTCTCAGCCAGTGTAGCTTTCTATGCACTTAGGTTTGTAGATTTTTGCTAATCTCTGAATGCTGAATGCCTATTGTCATAAGTATTAAATAATGGAAAAGTCTAAGTCACTTAATTTACCTAACAAATATTATTCTAAGGCATATTTTAAAGGCAAAACTGTATTTGTCAGGTCAGAGTAGGGCAAGCAGCGAAAACAGAATTACATTTGGTTTGAGCTTGTATTGGTCGAAACCAAACTATTTAGAGCAGAGTGGAAAAAAAGTCTTGTGTTTATTTCCTTATTATGAACAAAAATTGATTAATCATGAGAGATTTGCTTAGGACAGAGGAGACATTTATAACTATCCAGTCTAGGCAAAAATTGAGAGCCTTGAAGTAAATAAAACTTAGGGAGTTAAAACATCTAGTTTGGCTTATTCTATTGAACAGATTCATTGAGTCAGTATTTATTTACTGAGTGCTTACTATATGCCAGGCATTGTGCTAGGCATTCTAATGAAGGAAAAAGAGTCTTCATTTCTTTCTTTGAGGGCCTTTGGGTCTAGTGGAAGAAGGCAAGGGAATAGCTAGTGTTAAGGCCATAGGATAGTTACCTCAATTCAGTTGACCAAACTGACCAGATTGCTATCATCTGCCATCCACTGTAAAAGAAACATCTCCAAAATTGATCAGACTTCATACCTAAGTGAGTTATCAGCACATAGAACAAGGGCCATTTTGTGTATAGTCACTAATGCTACAGTCAGATTCTGGTGATATAGGTGTATATCATGTTTTCCAGGAAGAGAGGTTCATTGTCCCTGTTACATAACCAAAATACACTTGGTTTTAAAAAACTCCTTTTTAAAAGTACGCAAACTGTACTATTTTTAGTGATGTTCAGTGGATTTATATTTTTGTTAAACCTGAGATGTTTGTTTGGCTTTAAGCTTTTGTAAGTTATATTAGTCAAAGGGTACAGCATTTAATTTCTTTGTTTATAGACAACATTAAGACATTATGTTCTTTATGGACACAGAATCCTAAGTTGCCATTAAGATACTATTATAACTTTAGAGAAAATCTGTGTAGAACTCTGCAGTGTGCAAGTTTTAGCATCCAATAGTGTTTTGACAGTTTTTTTCACTGTACATCCTTACTAGCTGATTCTTTCAGCCTTGTGTACTATTTTCTGAGACAGAGCTATGGCTGTAAATAAGAGGACAGGTGGTTTGTAATTATGGGCCACAATCATTTACATTAAGTGCTTTCTAAGTCCCTCTTCCAGGCTTTGGAGTTGAATGAATTGATGTGTGTAGTGAAAGGATTGGAGATTATTGGCTGATAAATCTATTTTCTGTGGCTGGAAAGTGTTTAATGGAGTGCACGTGTGCAGATAAATCTATGGATATGTCTATATCTTTATATACATTTAGATCTCCATATCCCCAGTGGTATGTATTTCTTTTAGCCTAATTCTTTTGCTTCTTAAACTACTGTCTGGTCTCAAATGAGATCTTCGGAATATATTATAGAAGATATCTTTGGTTCAAAATATTGCCCTACTTATATCCCTAACTTGGAAACACTGGGAATGTTTAGTCATACACACATTCTTAGCATTTTAAAATTATATTTGGGGACTTCACAGAGAAGAATGTAACTTTCATGACTGATGTGTTGTGCTTGTTAAACTCAATCCCATTCTCACTTTTGAAATATATCCGTAGTATTAAGTGAGTATAGGGGGTTAGTAAAATAACTCAATTAATCTATTGCTAATTGAATTTTAAGAGTTTTCCTGGCCAGACGCAGTGGCTCACACCTGTAATCCGAGCACTTTGGAAGGCTGAGGCAGGCGGATCACAAGGTCGGGGATTCGAGACCAGCCTGGCCAACATGGTGAAACCCCTTCTCTACTAAAGATAAAAAAAAAAAAAAAAAAAAAAAAAATTAGGCATACTGGCACATGCCTGTAATCCCAGCTACTTGGAAGGCTAAGGCAGGAGAGTCACTTGAACCTGGGAGGCGGAGGTGGCAGTGAGCCGAGATCACGCCATTGCACTCCAGTCTGGATGACAGGGCAAGACTCTGTCTCAAAAAAAAAAAAAAAGGGTTTTCCCAAGATACTAAAATCTCTTTTTTGAATAACTTCTGAAACAGTTTTTGACACTGAGTAACTGAGTATACACTGAATTCATAATGGTATTTCTGTTCTTTAAATAAAATGCAAGTTGACATCTTGAAGGACTTTTCATAAAGTAGGTTTTCTTGAAATAATAGATATTTATTATATTTACTGTTGTTACTCATTTACTTTCCAGGGAGAACTCCAAATATCCAACTCTTAACAAAATTAGAAAGCAAATTTTAACACAGCTGTCTCTATTTTCAAAGTATGACTTACTTTACATTTAAGTTTTATTACATGGTATACTTCACAGAAGAAGAGCAAGATAATGTGATCAGAACTGACAGATTTGACCATGAAGTAGAATTACTTTTATATGTATAGAGAGGCAGTTGCTGGTTAGCACTTTGTATGTTTTCTGAAGTGCTTGTCAGAATCTCCGTAGTAGATCTTTTTCCTTTCTTTGTCTTTGGTTCCTTTTTCTCTCAGAATGTTGTCACGTCACTCTCTTGGCTCCTGACATTTTTCTTTTAAATTACTTTCCTTTTTACTAGCTTTTGACTATTCTAGAATCTTTCTGTAGTTTGTCTTGTATCTGTGTGTTCTCTCTTTGTTTTCTAGAAGTCTTCCACATCTTTTTTTTTTTTTTTTTTTTTTTTTTTTTTGAGACGGGGTCTCACTTTGTCACTCAAGGTGAAGTGTGGTGGCATAATCTTGGCTCACTGCAGCCTTGACCTCCTGGGCTCCCACCTCAGCCCCCGAAGTAGCTGGGACTACAGGTGACTGCCACCACACCCAGGTAATTTTTTTGTATTTTTTGTAGGGGTGGGGTTTTGCCTTATCGCCCAGGGTGGTTTTGAACTCCTGAGCTCAAGGGATCTGCCCACCTTGGCCTCCCAAAGTGCTAGTATTACAGGCGTGAGCCACTGTACCTGGCCAAAATTTTTTTCTAATGATAGGTTTAAGGCTATTGTCAGGGACTGGACATAAATTCTCAAATATAAATACACTTTCCCTGTGCTTTTAAAAAATGTATGAACATTGTGATGATGTCGTAGTAAATTTAGAAAATACCTTCACTCTGTTTTGTTAAGAGTTTAGTACTTGCCAGAGATAGAAATATCAAAAAGTTTTGTTTAAGTGTAATGAAAAATCAAACTTAGCATTCATAAAAAACTTAGAGCCGGGAGTGGTGGCTGACGCCTGTAATCCCAACACTTGGGGAGGCCGAGGCGGGCAGATCACTAGGTCAGGATATTGAGATCATCCTGGCTAACAGGGTGAAACCCCATCTCCACTAAAAATACAAAAAATTAGCCAGATATGGTGGTGCACCCCTGTAGTCCCAGCTACTCGGGAGGCTGACGCAGGAGAATTGCTTGAACCCTGGAGGAGGAGGTTGCAGTGAACCAAGATCGTACCACTGTATTCCAGCCTGGAGGACAGAATGAGACTCTGTCTCAAAAAAAAAGAAAAAAAAAAAAAAAAAAAAGCTTAGTAGCTCAGGAGCTTGTTGAATTAATACCATCCCCTGTCCCAAGTGGGCTGGTAGAGGAATTAGTATTTTAAAATACTACTAGCTGGCAAGTTTTATGATTGTCATATGATTGAATTATGGAATTTCTCATTGCTCTGTAAATCCTCAGGAAATCTAGCATGAAGGTTGAAAGCACAAACTCAGTAGAATTTCTAGATTCAAATTACTCATTCCTCTCCATATTAGTTTTGCAGCCTTTGGCA